GGCTTAATAGTCTTAAAGGGTTAGTCCAATCACAATGACCATTTCAGGGATTTGAAGAAGTTATGGTGCATAGAGTCTGTATGTGCCGAGATTTGTTGTGAAACGCTACATATACAGAGTTTAACCCCTCTACCGCCAGAGGTGTAACTCCACTTCCGGCTATGTCCTGGGGGGGACAAGTGTTTTGGTCTTGCAAATGTCTGTTTTTTATCCTTTTTTTTTGTTTTTGCACTATGTGCACTTCATGGCTGAGAGCGGTCAGCTGATGCTCTCAGCCAATAAATTGCGAGTGGATTGGCTTTCGGCTTCTGTAAATCTGCAGAATAAGGAAGCACGTCATCATGGATGCTTGGAGTCTCTGATTCCTGTGGCAACTGTTACTAAATGGTTTGCCCCATAACTGGGGAACCAGGCCTGGGCACTCCTGGAAACATAATCATTACATCAGCTACAGTCGTTAGGATGCTTGGAGTAACCCTTTAAGTGTCAGGGGTGTGGGATTTGCAATGTGTAGGAGAGATCTCTGGCCCTCAGGGTGTTAAAGGGACACTCATGTAATTGACGTGGTTATGGTGCTGGGAGTTCCTTTTATACCGTCCCATTGCTTAATTTGAAACCGTTTTCGAATTGTACTGTTACTGTGAGTATTTTAAAACTATGTCTCCCATCACCCTCATCCATGGAGTTAGACAGTCATAGAAGAACTGCAACATTGAAAAACCTTTTGAAATTATTTAAAAAAATGTGTGATATTGTGACCTAAAATGTTGTAATAAATTGTCCCTTTCAGTCCTTCGTGAATAAACCCCCAGTGTCTGCTGGGATATTTATGAAATATGCAACCTCTGTTCTGTTTGACCTTAAATTGACCAAGGTCATTTAGATAGAGATCATTCTAAAACACATTATAACCCTTGATGTGGTATTATTATTATTATTATTATTATTATTATTATTATTCATGCCATTTTATATAGCGCCAACAGATTCCGTAGCGCTTTACAATATTACGAGTGCGGGGATTTAACGATAAATAGGACAATTACAAGAAAACTTACAGGAATGATAGGTTGAAGTAGTAACAGTGTTTTTCTTATACGTGAACACGTTGTTGGTAATGGCAACAGAACAGCATTTATCTCGATGCCTTATGGAGGAGGTGCACCGTGCAGCTCCAATGTATAGTCACTGTTACAGCCGCTAAGCAGCAAATACGACAGGCTCCTAGATGGACTGGCATTTCACATTGTCAGCATTGCATGATCAAAGTTCCACGTCCCAACCTTTGCACCAGCAACAGCAGCCTAATACATTCCAAGCTTAGTAGTTTGCATCCCATACAAGGACATTGGGGTTTATTCACAAACTTAAAAATTGTAGAGAAGTCGTCACAGGGGGGGTTATACATTTTATTGGATGAAATATGGAGACTGTTTCCAATACAGATGTTTTAATTCCCATTATCGACATCTCTGAGTGAATACACTGTAAATTTAGTTTAGTTTTGATTTGACCATTTAGGTTTAAAGCTCCTATCAATTTTTTTAGTAATAATTTTTTAGTAAAAAAGTATCATTTCTATCTATTTTTTATTTATGTATTTTTTTTTTCTCACAGTGTTGGAGAAAATGTCTGAATTTAACTCTTTGTACACCTGCATGAGTAGCACTATAAGGGCAGTTCCTGTATAAGGCAGAGGTAAGTTCACAGATATATTTGCACATATGCTTCGCTTAACTTTTGTAATCTTCTTAATTTCTATAAATGACTGTTAATCAAAACTGTTATATGGGAATTAAGAATATTTGACATTTATCCTGGTTGTGCTATAATGACCATTTTGTGAAACATGCAGAGTCTGGGGTATTACTACTCGTAGCAAATAATCATGGCTGCTGTTCTGGGCTGCTTCTTAAAGAGACATGCATTACTTTGAGACAAATGTATCATTCAAAAGCATAGGCGTGCGCACGGGGTGTGCCTGTGCACACCCTAATCCCCGTGGGCTGCGCTGTGTGCCTCCATGGGCCGGTGAGGGAGATCAAAGATCTCCCTCATCGGCCCACAGGCAGGGAGGGAAGCAGGAGAGGACCCAGGGAGCTCTTGCCAGCAGCTCCGCCGGGTTTCTCTCGCGAGGTTGGAGCGTTGCCGCTGCAACGCTCAGATCTCGCGAGAGTGAACTCTAGCCCCGCAGGCTAGAGTTCACTCACCACTGGACCACCAGGGATGGCAGCAGCACGGTCCCCCTCCCTACAAAAGATAAGAAGGGAGGGGGACTATTAACTAATCGGTCCCCCCACCCCCACACAATACACACTGCACCCTCACACATACACCCAAACACACACACACACTTACAGCACCCTCACACACACACTCACATACACACACACACACAGCGCCCCCACACAGCTGTGTGTGTGTGTGTGTGTATATGTATATGTGTGTATGTGTGTATGTATGTGTGTATATGTATGTGTATATGTATATGTATATGTATATGTATATATATATGTATATATATATATATATATATATATATATATATATATATTATGCGCAACGTGTGTGTTTGTGCTTTAGGTTGCACGCCTATGTTCAAAAGCTTTAGTTGCCTCTCTCCACAGGCTGAAAAAAGCAGGCAAATGTTATGTTATTTTTTTTATTGTTTTTGTCTTTTACGTTCACCTGCTTCTTTTTATATTTTCCACACCCACTTCGGGTGGCAATGATCTGACCAATCTGAGTCCCATCAGTAGGATGCTATAAAAAGTGCATTGGGCATGTCTGACAGTCACACTATAGAGCGCTCCCTAAGGGGCGCCCGCGACACTGTTGCACATAGAAGGCTTATCAATAAACTGCAATCTTTAAGTTTGGATTCAAATATTGTTGAATGGGTAAGGCAGTGGCTGAGTAACAGGCAACAGAGGGTTGTAGTTAATGGAATATATTCGAAGCTTGGACTTGTCACCAGTGGGGTACCTCAGGGATCTGTACTTGGACCCATTCTCTTTAATATTTTTATTAGTGATATTGCAGAAGGTCTTGATGGTAAGGTATGTCTTTTTGCTGATGATACTAAGATATGTAACAGGGTTGATGTTCCAGGAGGGATAAGCCAAATGACAAATGATTTAGGTAAACTAGAAAAATGGTCAGAATTGTGGCAACTGACATTTAATGTGGATAAGTGCAAGATAATGCATCTTGGACGTAAAAACCCAAGGGCAGAGTACAGAATATTTGATAGAGTCCTAACCTCAACATATGAGGAAAGGGATTTAGGGGTGATTATTTCTGATGACTTAAAGGTAGGCAGACAATGTAATAGAGCAGCAGGAAATGCTAGCAGAATGCTTGGTTGTATAGGGAGAGGTATTAGCAGTAGAAAGAGGGAAGTGCTCATGCCATTGTACAGAACACTGGTGAGACCTCACTTGGAGTATTGTACACAGTACTGGAGACCGTATCTTCAGAAGGATATTGATACCTTAGAGAGGGTTCAGAGAAGGGCTACTAAACTGGTTCATGGATTGCGGGATAAAACTTACCAGGAAAGGTTAAAGGATCTTAACATGTATAGCTTGGAGGAAAGACGAGACAGGGGGGATATGATAGAAACATTTAAATATATAAAGGGAATCAACACAGTAAAGGAGGAGACTATATTTAAAAGAAGAAAAACTACCACAACAAGAGGACATAGTCTTAAATTAGAGGGACAAAGGTTTAAAAATAATATCAGGAAGTATTACTTTACTGAGAGGGTAGTGGATGCATGGAATAGCCTTCCAGCTGAAGTGGTAGAGGTTAACACAGTAAAGGAGTTTAAGCATGTTTGGGGATAGGCATAAGGCTATCCTAACTATAAGATAAGGCTAGGGACTAATGAAAGTTTTTAGAAAATTGGGCAGACTAGATGGGCCGAATGGTTCTTATCTGCCGTCACATTCTATGTTTCTATGTTTCTATGACTGCCTAAGTCGCCTATAGGAAGCGCCTGCCCTAAATCCACGCAACTGATAATCAGCCTATCTATAATTTTTTCTGCCATCTATGCAATGATAGTGATTACACTCTTGCAAAGGAAGTTAGTCCACACAGTAGGGTAACAAAATGATACTCTACCACTGTAATATACGTATCTTCAGCCATCAATGGTTATGACTGTGATGTCTGTCTGGTTATATCAGCCAGTCAAAGAACTGTTATATTAATGTTTTATTGTTTGAAGTGAATTGTCTGTCACTCTCTTTATTCCCAGATTATTGGCTGCTGGGTTTACACTCTGTATTAAAGATGTTTACATTTCATATTAGTGATGTTAGAGTGCATTTGCTGTTATCTGTTGTGTGGCACTTCCTGTTGTGATTTTGTTAATTAGCATCTGTATTGAAACACAAGATGGAAGGAGCCAAATAAAGATTTAAAGAGGTAAATAATAGAAGGCAGAGCAGGTGACTTTACTCTTTTTATCTCTTTTCTGTTGTTTGATGGTTTAATAGCCCAGTGCTGACTTGACATACTGGGATATTCCACTTGGAATTAATCAGTTTTGGATTCATGCAAATCCTTTTTATACTTCAGTGCACTGTTCTGGTCACATCGTCTCCTTTTATATAGTATCGATAAGGAGATGGGTCGACATGTTTGGTGTCTTTACTCATTTGGATTATTAGGAATTTTCATTATCATGAGTCCTGTCCCACCTTAGATCGGAATCCAACCAGTTAATACACAGGATCTACTTCATATAACGCTCATATTGGCCAATCACACAATAAAGCCAGTTATGTGCATTTCCTGACAGACCTGTAGTGAAAGGTATAGGATTAGCCTTATAAGGCTAGGATCAAGCATGTCAAACTCGTGGCCCGCCTGCGAGTTTGACATGTTAAGGCAGAGTAGGCACCTGCTCTCACCACATTGCAGGTGCCTACTCTGCTAAAATTTACCTGGCCGAGGAGGAGAGATCCCCGGCGGCAGCGAGGGAGCTCAGTCTTCCTGCTCCTCACACTCACAGTTTAGTTATGCCGGGCCGGAATGACGTCATATTCACTAAACTGTGAGTGTGAGGAGCAGGAAGACTGAGCTCCCGAGTGAAGATCCCCACTGGACCCCAGGGAGAGGCCGCACACCAGCTCCCAAAGTTAGGGAGCAATAAAGAAAATGATGTGAGTGTGTTCAAGAATGTAGAAGTGTGTGTGTGTGTGTGTGTTGGTCAGTGTTGCGATACTCGGATTTAGTACAGAGTAGGGGGGGAGACTGGGATCTGGTACAGAGTTGGGGGGAACTGGGATTTAGTACAGAGGGAGGGAGACTGGGATTTAGACAGAGTGGGGAGACTGACAGAGGGAGAGACAAGTGAGGGGGGAGGGGATGGGATTTAGTACCGAGGGGAGGAGACTGGGAGTTAGTACAGGAGGGGAGGGGAGACTGGGAGTTAGTACAGAGGGGGAGAGGAGACTGGGAGTTAGTACAGGGGGGGAGAGGGAGACTGGGAGTTAGTACAGAGGGAGAGGAGACTGGGAGTACAGGGGGAGGGGAGACTGGGAGTTAGTACAGAGGGAGAGGAGACTGGGAGTTAGTACAGAGGGGGAGGGAGACTGGGAGTTGGTACAGAGGGAGGGGAGACTGGGAGTTAGTACAGAGGGGGAGAGGAGACTGGGAGTTAGTACAGAGGGGAGGGAGACTGGGAGTTAGTACAGAGGGGGAGGGGAGACTGGGAGTTAGTACAGAGGGGAGGGGAGACTGGGATTTGGTGCATGGGGAGACTGGGATTTGGTGCATGGGGAGACTGGGATTTGATGCATGGGGGGACTTGGATTTAGTAGAGGGGGATGCTTTTTTTTATACGGTACTTTTCAAAACAAACCCAAGTTTCTATGAAATGGTTTTTGGTTTTTTTTTGCGTCCCACATAAACTTAAACCTTGTTTATTTGGCCCGTGCTAGCCTTTGAGTTTGACATGCTTGGCTAGGATTTTTATGTATATAGTTATCATGTTAATTTTTGTTACAATTATCTTAATTGTGGCCATTGACTATTTATTTTCATAGGATAATGGTTTATATCCAGGGAGCTTTTTTTTCTCACCTATGTGAGAAGATTTTGATTCTTTCATTTCTTCCTACATTTATTAGGGGTTCAGCCCTGAGATACCCCTGGAGTGTTGCACTGGTGTACCCTTTCTGTGACTGTGGACACACTTACAGACACACTCGTTGTCCAGGTGTCCTGGTGTGATCCAGCCACAGAATCTTTTTACTAAATAATAGAAGGGGTTGTCTGTTAGAGGTATCTGTCATGAAATGATTGAGAAAAGTATGGAGAGTTTTTTTTGTAAGTTTTCATTTTCTAAAAACTTTACACGGTTCCATAGCTAAAATATGCCTCTCTGCCTTTGAAGAGAGAGTTGTTTCTCAATGACATTTAGATTTTATCTTGAATATTTCTGGCATGTTCATTCCCCAGAATGAGTGGTTATTTCCTTGTAACAGTGATTGGGGTGGGGGGGAGGTACTTTTTCTGGTTTAGTCAGTGTGCATGGTTTGAAACACTTCGTTTCTGGTTATACAATCTGCACAGGAAGTTTCAACATGCAAGTCCATCTTAGATATGTACTGCAAACATTACCGCAAAGTGGACTTTGCATGTATTAATTGCTTACAAATAGAGTATTGCCGCATTACATTTAATTGTATCTTCTAATTCACATGTTTTGTCCACCACTGCATGTGTTACTTTGCAGTCAGGATTGCAGGAGGCAGGACTGTAGTAGAGGCACGTCTGATATGCACATACTAAAAAGAGAAGTGCTTGTTGTATACAATTACTACATTCTTTTCAAATAGGAATCATGAAAAACCTGTTCCGTTGCTGGCTCCTTCTTTGGTCCAATAGTCCTAGAACCTTCGTAAACACCTGCAGCTTCCATGCTGTGCATGCTGTTAATCCAACAATTGTTGGTGGGCTGCAGTGACATGCACCCGTTATTGGAGGTGAAGAGTAACACAGGTGGCATTTTTAATGCACTGGCACGTGACCCTAAACCTTGTCCCATTTGTTTGCATTCAAATAGCAGAACAATTTTTTTCATCAGTAAAACAAGCTTTGATCCTGTCAAGTGAATATCTTCTTTTTTTTTTTTCACTCGAATCTGTAACTGCTAACTAATATTATTGAATTTATGTATTACAATAATGTAGAATAATGTGTTACTCTATTTAATCAAAGTATTTTACTATGAAATTATTAAATTTCAACAGCAATCTCCACCACTGATATAAATTATTCAAATTAAACAGGAGCTGGGAAACTTGCCCCAAAATATATATTTTTGTGTTGCGGTTAGACGGATTCCTATTCTCAAACATATTTGACTTGTTCATACTTGTCTGGGTTTCTCATACTCTCTTGTCTTTTGCTTATATTGTCCTTCTAACTCCAGGAAAAACTTGTAATCACACAGTGGCTTCTGTGTATCTAATTTAATGCCTAATGCTTTCCGTCAGACTGAAATTTCAACCGTACCTTACACTCCACTTTCATATCTATCAAGAAAATAACATGCCCTCTTTCCTGCCCCTCATGAAAGTGTGTGTGCATATGTGGACAAAAGGTATTGGGACATCTGACCTTTGCACTAACAGGGACCTTTACGACATTGCATTCTAAATAAATAGTCATTAATATGTAGTTGGTCACCCCTTTGCAGCTATCACAGCCTATGAAGGCATTTGACAAGATTTTTGGAGTGTTTCTGTGGGAATTTTTGGCCATTCATGCAATAGAGCATTTGTGAGGTCAGGCACTGATGTTGGACGAGAAGGCCTGGCTTGCAATCTCCGTTCCAGTTCATCCCAAATATGTTTGATGGGATTGAAGTCAGGGCTCTGTGTGGACCATTTAACACCTGTAACAGATCCCCCATACTCTGGCTGAGTATATCCGTTGGTAGTCTCCCGAATGCCAAGTACTTCAATGATTATAGCTCTCCTGTTTCCAGCAGAGTAGGGATTAGAGCTCTCAAATCCCCCAAACATTAACCTAGACTTCATGAAGGGGTAAAACAAATGTGTTTTTAATTCAGGCTCAATGGCCTCCTTTTATACAATACAGGGATACTGTAAACACACCCATAACACTCCCACACAAAACAGGATAATCCATCCCCTGGACCTGAGAGGAGACTAGTTACAAGCAAACATCTAACATACTCCTCCCCTGTGCCTGAGAGATAATTACCTGAGCACAGGAACATATAATTGAATTATCTCTCAGTACAGAAACCGACAATATAACAAAACCTCAAAAATACCCCCAAAATACTTAAACCCAGCACATAAGTTACATCCCCTGATAGCCCCGATCTGGGTGACCAACATATTCTAAAATCACCGAGATCGGTTCAGGGGTTCCTGATTTTCATGGAAGTCCATTATTTGACCGACTGTGCACATGGTCCTATGCCCAAAAAGTTCCAGGGAATCATGGTCACTCTTTCTGGAGTACAAAAGTACATGAACAGAGCCTTTTAAAGTGCATTGGGCAAGGTCTATTGCAGGACCCATAGTCCTGAGGCAGGAGGCTGGCAAGCAGGCTCTTCCAGGAGCTTACGGCAAACGACAAGACCACAGGGCGTTTGTCACATATCCCCCCCAATGGTAGACTAACCAGGTACCTGACCTCTTGTCAGTCAGTCCCTAAGGTAGTCTGGAAGCCCACCCACAAACAATTGTCTGACGTAGTAGCCTCCTGCTCCATGATCTGTCCTGTCAGCTCCCAATTTCTATGTGGGTGCTGTCAGTCACCACTGCTCTCTCCCTTGCTCCCCGTCGTGGAGCTGTCTGTGCTGGGTGGGCAGATGCCAGCGAGGCTCTGCACCATAGCCAGCGTTTCAGCTGGGGTGGCCTGTTTAACATCAGGCCCTGAAGCAAATGGACAGGTAGGGCAGAGGCCAGTTGTCCTCTACCCTGATGCCAGCTCTTCTGCTGGGAGGGTGTCAGTGAAGGCCGTAGTTCCCTCCACTGCACCCGGGACACGGTTGGGAATTGGTCGCTGGAGGAATCAACTACCCCCTCCTGCTGTGGCTTGGGAGGGATGATATCCTCTTCCCCCAGGTTGCCGCTGGGGTTGGGGATCTGGGATGGATGCCCAGCAAAACACATAAAACCCCCACATAAGTTACATCCCCTGATAGCCCCGATCTGGGTGACAAACATATTCAAAAATCACCCAGATCGGTTCAGGGGTTCCAGATTTTCATGGAAGTTATTTATTTGACCGACTGTGAACATTGTCCTATGCCCAAAACAGTTCAAGGAATCAGGGCTAACGGTCAGTCTCTCTTTCTGGAGTACAAAAGTACATACATAAATCACATGAAAAGAGCCTATTAAAGTGCATTGGGCTAAGGTAACATCCCCAGGACGTACTTGAAAACCAGAGTAATCTGAATGTACCTTTTCTGGTTAAATACTTTGTTATTATTTCGCGAAGTCCCCTGGTGGTGACATTGCTGCGGGGGTCAGGAATAGGTGAGTTTACTTGCCGGAACCTAAATGTTGCTGGTGCCACCAGTGTTCCTGCGGGGTCATCTTCACATCGACGTCCTTGCTGTACACTCGTGCATGCACGATACTAGAACATGAGGTCTATGAACACCTCAATGTTCATAGACGCAACCAATTCTCTGCATCTGTCACTTGACTGCTGCAGAGATTGACTCTGTAGCTCTGAGTAACTTTTAGGCTTGCCTACTATTGTAGTATTTGAACATTTGAGCCTGTGCTAAATCCATACGTTCCTAAAATGTCATCCATATTTACAGTTGCATTGAAACACTATGTTTTAAGTTGGCGTTACTGGGTAAAGGCTGCCTGTTTTCCTCCCTCTTCTATGGTTTGAATAGGCTTTATGCTGACCCAGAAATGACCTGCAATCATTTTCCAAGGCAGGAACTACCCCATTTCCCAAGACACCTAGTATTGTAGCCACCGGTGTTACTGCTTAAGGCGAGCACTAAAATTAACCAAGAAAAGACATGTGCCTCTCAGTGCTCACGCCATGCTTTCTTTTAGCTTTTGA